TCTTAAGGCTCAACTGTAAGAGAGTTACATTTTTGGCACACAGCAGCACTACCAAATATTTGTCTATGGGCTTAAGGGGGTAAAATTATTTTTGCCTAAGGGTAGAAATGACTGAATTTACATAAATATTAAACAGTAGGGGAACTAAAATACATCTCACTTCTCAGCAGATTGAATGTCTGCAGAGGTCCCTCACCTGGCTGACTGTTTAATGAACATAGCTGGGATCAACAAATGTAAGGGAGTACTTCCATCACAGGCTATTTCTTGGAATAGAATTGAAGGCAAATTTTAATTTGAAAACAGTGATATATAAAAAGTTTCATTGTCCACATGTATATTTTTCTATTAAATGCTACAAAAACAGCAACTTTCATTAAAATTAAAATTTTGGCCCATTCTAGATCTGCTCTAGTGTAGTAGCAGATATCAGAATAAATGAACACCTAATATTACCCAGAAAAAAACAGAAAGCAGAATCTAACCAACAACACATGCCTATTCTTACCTAATAAACTGAAAATCTATTATTATTTAGCCTGCTTAATATTACAATTCCCATGGGCTAATTTCACATGTTCTTAGGAAAACTGTTCAATAATAGAAGATAATGCGTGATTCCTAACACAATCAAGAAGCAAAAATGTTGTTTTAAAATGCTTTTAAAGATATGTTTGGCATTTAGTTTCTACCACAAGTTATAGTTAGGCATAGAAAGTCTGAAAAATAGTCTAATTGACTAAATTTAATTATCTGCTTAATTCTTACATCTAATTAAATGTATTTTATCGATCATTGCAAACTATCATTTGCAATATGTTGATAAAGATTCTCAGTCATAGAGTTGTCTGGAAACTGAGTCATGACAATTGATTTCTTTTCATTTTTTGGTTTGAAACTTTTCTCTGCTTATCCAAAGTATCTTCTCCAGTCTGACTGAAAAAACTACAGTACTTGGATAAGCAGCAAAACATTTCAAACAAAAAAGAAGTCCAGTTTCCATGACTTATCTTCCAGGTATCATCTGCAATTCTGAACAGTTTTGTTTCTTATTATATAATGTATTAATATACATCATCATACGTAACATCTAATAAAAAACACATTGTCATTGTCCATCCAAATAAACACTGCCTGGTATGTGTCCATAGGAGTCTTCTTTCTCTAATTTTCTTTCAACCACTCAGATTCCACAAGGGCAGATGCAATTGAAACATTTGATGTATTAAGATTACCCAGTCTTGAGTGTAAATATAATACTGTGATTAAAGTTTCCATTCAATCTCTTAGGCAACATTAATGTACTAATTAAAATGAAAAGGTACAATGAATTGTTTTGGGTAGGTATATGTACACTAATAAAGAGGAGGACTTGAAGAGCTCTCACAAAGAGAACTTACTCTCCAAAACACCTCAGGGTAGAACAAGTAACAGGTGGAACATCATTAAAGAGAAATCCAACTTGTAACTAAGGAGAAATTTCCTAACTGTGAAAACAATTAATCAGTGGAATTGCTTACCTCCATATATTGTGGATGCACTCTCTCTAGAAGTTTTCAAGAAGAGATTGAACAATCATTTGTCTAGAATGATATAGGCCTACTGCTTGAGTTGGACGCTGGACTCAAAGACTTCCAAAGTTCCTTCCAATCCTGCTTTTGCAAATTACTTCATTCTATGTTATTCTAAAATAAATATCACCCTGGACTGATATATATTTTAAGGCAGATTCCAATGTTACTCCTTATTACTTTGCAACAGGAGTTCCCAACAGTCAGTCCGTGGACTGGCACAGATCCCCACAGATCCCACACCCCTCTGGTCCAAGGAAAAACTTCTCTCCATGGAACTGGTCCCCTGTGCCCCAAAAGGTTAGGGGTCATTGCTTTACAAGGAAAAATTACAGGGGGTTCTTGACTTATGGCAATTGAGCTCAAAATTTATGTTGCTAAGCAATACAGTTGAGTTTTGTCCCATTTTAGGATCTTTCTTGCCACAGTTGTTAAATGAATCATTGCAGTTGTTAAGTTAGTAACACTGTTGTTAAATGAATCTAGCTTCCCCATTGATTTTGCTTGCCAGAAGGTCACTAAAAGTGACCTCATGACCTCCAGGACCCTACAACCTTCATAAACACATGCCAATTGCCAAGAGTCCAAATTTTTACCTCATGACCATGGGGATAGTGCAATGGTTATATGTGTGAAAAACAGCCTTAAATAACTTTTTTCAGTGTTGTTGTAACTTTAAACAATCACTAAATGAATGGTTGTAAATCAAGGACTATCTATAATGAAAAAAAAACATGGCAAACCTCCTCAAATATATTTGATCAAACTGAGGTTTTCTTATGATGAAGCCAGCTTTCACTTACCAGATTTTCAGAATCACTGGGCCCTTATTTTGACTTTGATACTTTTCTGGAATTAAAAAAATTTCTGAATATTGTCCTTTTTGGCCTATTTAAAGAACAAGTGTGTAATCCCTCTGAAATGTTGCCAAGTTTTAAGGTACAAGTATATTAAATAAGGGTTTTTTTTTGTTTCCAGTCTTGAAAACTGCTTGACTGACATATTTGTTCTTACCAGATGTAAGTAGTTATGTTTGGATACAGAATCAGAGAAGAAAATGGCATTATGAAATAATCCCAGTTTTAAGATTATGGAGAATATATTTTACTAGAATTCCTGAGCCAAACAATAAATCCATTAAATCGTATTATTATAAAAGTGTCAAGACTTTTAGAAATTATGTTCCAAATATGATTTATATATAACATCTCATGGCAAAATATACAATTAAAATCTATTGTCAAAACAGAAATGTAAAAATAATGAAATCATGTAGAAATAATGAAATGTGGAATTCCCCTAAAACCCTTTCTGACTTTTGTCAACAGAAAGTGTGTGTACCAAGTTTCTTTTTCTGTTTGCTCGAAATATGATAAGGCCATTTAATGTTTCACAAATATAAAATAGATTAACATATACAGGTTTGTTGTTTTAAAAAACCATGAAACTTTTGAAAATAAGCATTTTCCTGGCAATGTTTTGAAACCCCCTAGAACACTAAAAACTTGAGAAGAGGTACTCCCCTTGTATATCACCTGTGTGCTTGCATAGCTGTTTATGTGGAACAGGAAACCAAGATTGTTCAAAATATGTACCAGCTGTGCCAGCCATGAATAAAGAAAAAAAATCCCCTGAATATAAGTAATGTCAACCAAAATGTGCAGCATCTGTACAGCAATGAGCCCTGTGGGGATAGAGAGAGAATGTGTGGACAATGTAAGCAGTACTCTTTTGCACATGACTTACTCTAAGTACAGAAAATGCATAGATTTGACACATTAATAATCTATTCTCAATTCCACTGAGCAAGGGAAGATAATCAGACCTGAGTGCCAGATCAGGAAATTAGAGCAGGGCTGATAATAAAATATGTACAAGTTATTGTATTTATAGTGTATTTAGTGTGTAATGTAAATTACTTTGGATTTATAAATACAAAAAGGAGGGAAAAATTATAAGTAAAAATAAGCTCTACACAATCCATGTCAGTACACACTTTAAAAATCAGCTGAATGAATTTTTGCCAAACCCACACACAGACACATACATTCAGTGTAAATTCCTAAGCATTCTTAGTTCTTTTAAAAAAGTCATTTTTCTCATAAAATAAAAAAAAATCTGCCATCAATATAAACTGACTTGAATATTTTTCAGAATATGGGCTTCTAAAATGTCCAGTCAGTAGAGCCAGTTTGAAGAATTTGGGGAATTAAGTCCACTCACCAGGACGCAGATTGGAGTATGCTTTTGTGGAGTAGATTAACTCAATATTTCACAGCACTCCTGATTTATAAATCAACTTTCTGTGAAATTGATGAATTTGAAGCGGATTTATTTTGTGATTACTGAATTCTCCCTCCCCGTCCCCCCCAAAAATTAAGGCTGTATTTTTGCAATATTTAAACATACAAAAGTTCCATCCTAGATAAAATATATATTCTCTTGCAAACAGACAAATCACACATAAAGCCTGCCAGCCAGAATATAGAGAGTAAAGCAAGGGGGATCTGTTGCTTGGATAACAGTTTATCCTCCATATTAAATTATCCAGGCCTCCTGCTCTGGAGAAGACACTCCAGCTTTCCATATAGCATTGAAACAACACATTGGAAGTGGCAGTTAGTGGTTTCATAGCATGATACCATAGTCTCTTGAGACTGAAGGATGCCAATTTAAAGCAAGGTGTGATCATGGAACTCTCAATTTGAAATTTGGATTTCTTCCTAAACTGTATACTCATCCTCAAGTTATCTCTATATGTTTCCTCTCCTTTAAATTCAGATTAAGTTATGTTCATATTTTCTATCTTCTCCAAGCAGGAAACTGATAAACAGTTACCTTTGCTTGTGTCCAACCAAATGCCATCAGATACATATGGCATTGTGAGGAATGGATTATTCCATTTCTCTCTCAGAAGAATCATCATCCAGATCCAAAGAGTTTCAAAGGGCTGACTAGGACTGGGCACATCCAGGACCTCCCTTGCTTCTACTCTCCAGAGCAGACCTAAAACTTCTCGTTGCCCTTTTAGTTTACAACGTTCCATAGCTTGTATTATCTCGCACAAATTGCACTCAGGCGAGGACCAGGGCAGGACTGCTCCTTATCTATACTCACTGAATCTCGAGTTTCCTATGTTCTTCATGCCCTATGTTCAATAGATAAAACTTTGTAATCATTCTAAACAGTGATCCGCCCAGTAATTCATCCTGCAATAAATATCTGTGGGAGGTTAGAATAGAATAGAATAACAGAGTTGGAAGGTGGCATCTTCCAGTGCAGTGTTTCTCAAGCTTAACAGTTTTAAAACATATGGACTTCAGCTCTAACTACCCCGCCCAACAATGTACGAAGTCCACACATTTTAAAGCTGCCAAGGTTGAGAAGCACTGCTCCGGGAGTAGCAGAATTCATACCACCCAAACTCACCATGGCAACGCCACCGAACGGATGGGGCGAGGAACCGGAATCAGGAACTTCGGCAGCTGCAAGACCGCCGACGGGCTTCTTTGCATTCAGACGAAGGGAGCGCGCTCGAAGCGGCTTTTATAAGCCCAAATGGGAACGGAAGCGAAGAAACCACGCCCTCCCATCCCTGCCTGGTACAACCGAGATGGGAAGGCGAAAATGCTCATCTGCTTCCCCCCACCCCCCGCCCAGCAAGGGGTGATAGCGCGGTTGTGCCCTGCCCAGCTCCGCGTTTTGTTTATTCTATTGCATTTTTTGAGAGGGATAAACAAAACGGAGCAGAGGGAAGGGGTTTTTCAGTTCTAGGGAACTACGCAAAAGGAACAAAAATTAGCCCCACTCCGAAGAGGACACATTCTGCAGAGGAAAGCATCCGGATAGTTGTAAGGGGCGGTGCGAGGGGAGGTATAGGTCACTAAAGAACAAGGAAGCAAAGTATGGCGAACTCTCGAAACTTACTAAACGAAATGAAACAGGAAATATAAGCATATCCACCGGAGTATAAACTCCACAAACAGCCCAAAGGAAAATAAGCAGCTCATTGTCAGGTAAAAGATGAAACGGGAGACGAAAAAAATGCTTAGATGCAAAATGTCACCGTTTTTTTTTTAAATCTAATACTCTACAATATACCCCAATAAGATTTCATTCAGAGGTTTGGGATTATATTGCTCATAATCATTGGCCATGTGGTTCTATCACCATCTTAAAACTCTTATTTGCTGGGGGTTTTGCCTGCTAAAGGTAACAATGTTGCATTATTTGATTTGCAAGGATGGAAAACAGATTGGATATTTATCTAGACGAACATAAAATCACACAATTATCTACTGGCTAAACAGTCCTATATTCTCTCCAAATTCTATATATTCAACACATGGAACCTGTGATTCTTCAAATTTTCCCGAAAGACAAGTCCTGTTGTTGAAAATTATGGTTTAGCTTTTCTAAACCTGAAGCTCTCTGCCTACTTACATGGAAATCACTTTAACTTCAATGAGGGATTGTTGAGAACACTGGACTGTTACTGTTACTTAATTACTGGAGCAATTAAATGGAATGCTTCAACCTTCAACCTTCTGGATTTGAGTTCTCTGTTGATATGTGACTTGTAGCTCTCAGAACTAGCTGCCCAGCATGGCTTTGCTGAAATGTCCAAAAGGTGCTCTTTCAAAAAGCAACAGGCCTTTGTTTTTCCTTGAAGACATTTCACTTTATCTAAGGAGCTTCTTCAGTTCTGACTGAATAGTGGAGAATAGAATTATTTATATTCCTCACAGTCATCTGGACTTGAATGCTAATGACCAGGTGACTGAGAAATATAAACCCTTCCATTCTCTACCATTCAGTCAGAACTAAAGAAGCTTCTTGGATGAGAAGCAAAACGTCTTAAAAGAAAAATAAAGTCCAGTTACCTTTTGAAAAAGCATCTTTGAGACAATCATGACCTGGATGACTAAGAATCTCCATACATACGTTGCTAAAATACGAAAAATTAAAAACTAGCATTCAAAGAACTAGCATTCAAATCAAGCCTGCACAATTCATAGAAGGGAAGGGCCATATTGATAAAATAAAAACAATTGCAGGCTACAAAGAAAGTAGCTGGGTGTGATGAGGCATCAACAGCATGTGCTTCAGAGTTTAACTTTATTGACATTTTAAAAATATGCCCATGGATAGCATAAGCCTACTTGGTAGGTCACATGTAGCTGAGCAGCCTATGTTGCGTAGCCCTAATATAGGCTATGGCAGATTGTGGAACTTATCTCTCCAGTTAGCCTATCTAACTCTCAAAGCCATTACACTAAACCATTATATTTAGGAAAGTTATTGATAATGATTTTTGACATTTGCAAGTAGGATATGTTTAAAAGACGTGTTCTGGATTATCTTAACCTAGAAAAAGTTCCATTTCTAAAATGCTGATTCCCAACAATAATTTGATTGGGACAATTTACTTCTCTTCTGAATTTCTTATGAGTGCCCAGAAAAATACAATTGTTCCATTCATAACAGGGAATTATGATACTGACAAGCAGCATTTTCATATACAGATGTCTATTACGATTAGGTTCTGAATAGCTTTTATTTTACTTGCATGTATTCACCAATGTATTTCTTAATATCTTTTCTTCCACATAGAAAAGTATTGAATATATGGTTCAGCTTTTGCAGGAAGATTCCAAAATGTAGAACTTACATCTAAATTGCTTGTACAACATGATCTCTTGTGCAACTTACTATCCAAAATTATTACTACTGAAAGATTTCATTCTGCAGATGCTTGCTCTTTTTTGTCTATATTCAGATTACTAATGTGAACTGATTTGAGAATCCTTCAATCATTTAGCTGTCTTGCAGCTAGGATTAATTTTAATGAGTTGAGCTATTCATTCAAAAGCAATATAAAAATATAAAATTGTAGAGTTGTAATTGCAGGAATGTTCCAATCTCGGATGGCAAACCTCAGATAAAGAATGTTTCCAAGCAAATACAACTCAGGCAAACAAAGTCACTAATCTAAAGGAGGATTAGAGAGAGGAAATAAACATATGTTAGACTTTAACAAGATAATTAATTGTATGGATTACTGTGCTAAACAGTAACGAAAGTTAAGCAGTGATGGAGGATAACTAAAAATGTGTATAAATGCAAGACTAGACTTCAATAAAGATCATCATCATGATTCAGTTGTTCATGATCAAACAACTCGACTGCCTCGTCATTACAACATAAACTGAAATATTTCAGAATTATTGCTCTTTATCGGAATTAACTAAACTTTTTAAAGAGTCCTACATGGAAGTCAGTGGTGGGATTCAAATTTTTTTACTACTGGTTCTGTGGGCGTGGCTTGGTGGGTGTGGCACGGCTTGGTGGGCATGGCAGAGGAAGAATACTGTAAAATCTCCATTCCTTCCCCACTCCTGGGGAAAGGTTACTGCAAAATCCCAGTCTCTCCCCACCCCGCTAACCCGCTTTCCAGCTCCGTTCTCCTGTGGAGTGCAACAAAAAAAAGACCCAGCCAATCAGCTGGGACTCAGGAGGCAGAGAAGAGATGGGGGCAGGACCAGTCAGAAGTGGTATTCCAAACTACTCAAAATTTCCGCTACCGGTTCTCCGGACTACTCAAAATTTCTGCTACCGGTTCTCCAGAGCTGGTCAGAACCTGAATATCACCTCTGATGGAAGTATATTTCCTGTATTCTTGCAACCTCTTTATAAAATTATACATTTAATAATTATTTTATTTGTGTTTTATTTAGTAGTCAGAACATCACAAGCAATAATGTAGAGAGAAAATATTGTGAGGCAAAATGGATTACTACAAGAAGACAGTTCCTAAATTACAAGCCAAAAACAAATTTCACCAATCTTATCCTACAGTTTCTTCACTCGGTTTTTCTGGGTCAGGTTCTAATTCTTTCTCAGGTTCTTCTCCAAGTTCTTCCCCAGGTTCTTCCTTAGGTTCTTCGTGTTCTTCTCCTGTCTTCTCAGTTTCTCCTTGATCTGGTTCTCCCTCCATCTGTTGCATCTCCCCATTCTCAGGTGCAGGCACCTCTTCTGCTTCTTGGGATAATACCTCTCTCACATCTTCAGATTCAAGTTTTTCAGCTTCCTCCTTTTTTTCTGTATCAACTGCATCTTTCTTGAGCTCTTCCTCCTTCAACTCTTCTTCTTCCTCCTCTTCATCTTCTAACTCTGGGAAATAATAGAATTTCAATGTTTATATCCATCTCTACTCTCAGGTTTATGACTTCTCAACCATATTTCCATTTTACAGCTATGGGAAAGGCAAGATTACTAAGGAAAACCCCCCAAAAGTGAGGTCAATTGTAAAGGGAACATAAATGGATGGCTTTTGATTATCCTATTCAGAACTTTGAGGGCAGGTATATTATTCTTTTGTGCTTTCCCCTCAGCAGTGGGATCCTACCTGCTCCACTACTGGTTCGGTGATAGCGTGTGCACACACACACACCTAACACGCGCGCACCTAACGCACCCACACAGCTTTCCACACACCAGCTGAGGCCGCAACGCCAATCAGCTGAGAGGATAAAGAAAAGTGCAGGGCCCAGTGGGAGGGCCAATCCTGTGCTTTTCTCTTATTTCTCCTTTGAGGCTTTTTTCCTCCTCTCAGCTGATCGTGGGAGGGTTTTTTTACTACCACTGAACCGGTAGGAATTTTTGATACCGGTTCATGCGAACCGGGCCAAACTGATAGCATACCACCCAGTGGTGGGATTCAAGTTTTTTTACTGCTAGTTCTGTGGCCGTGGCTTGGTGGCTGTGGCGTGGGAAGGATAATGTAAAATCTCCAGTTAGAGGTGGTATTTGCCGGTTCTCCAGAACTACTCAAAATTTCCGCTACCGGTTCTCCAGAACTGGTCAGAACCTGCTGAATACCACCTCTGATACCACCACTGTTTCCCCTACAATGCTTTGCTATAATGCAATTGCTTTTTGACAGTGGGCATAGATTCCTGGCTTATGAGAATTAGAAAGACAGGAAGCCACACAACAATCCTCAGATATTCATTCTAGAAAAGTAATGAAGAGTTCTATACTGAATTAATGTACACCAACACTGAAGTTTAAACTTGAAATCGAATATAAAAATTTGGTTAATCAAAAAGAGAAAAATGCAGTGCTACCTACCAACCAAAAATAAGAGACTGGAGAAATACTACCACCCAGAGGGCAAGCTTTTCTCTGCAACTGCAACGCTTATCCATTCACTTTTAATACAGAATCCAAAATCATTGCATTCCAACATTTAAGGTTTGCCCATGTTTTTTTGAGACATGATTACTATGTATTCAGTACATTTGTAGTGTTTATTTACAAATGCAGGCAATAGAGACTTATCAGAGATTTTGTACTTTTAATTAAAATTGTCTACTTGCACATTTTATCCTTTATTTTCTATTCAGCACAATAGGATTAATAATGTATTATTTCTTTTAATTAATTTGTTTTTGATCGCTGAACATTCTGAAATACTATTGACTGTTTCCTCTTTTTTCTATATCTGTTA